GTCCTGATGCATCTCAGTAATCCAGGTAAAAAATCAAAAGGAAAAATATTGTATAGGTCCTCTGGACGGGTTCTTCTTTAATGAAACGTTTCAGCTCTCTTCCAAGAGACTTCAGTCTGAGAGTTTCAGGCAAAATTCAGGCTTTTTTGGCCTCAAAAGCCTAAATTTTGCCTGAAACTCTCAGACTGAAGAAGTCTCTTGGAAGAGAGACGAAACGTTTCATTAAAGAAGAACCCGTCCAGAGGACCTATACAATATTTTTCCTTTTGATTTTTTACCTGGATTACTGAGATGCATCAGGACAGCAGGTGTTTTATCTTCAACAACACATTTATAATTTTTATGGGACTTAGCTCAGTTGTAATCGGCATTCGCAAATCAAACTCCAGTGTTGGCCTTCAGACTGAAAAGCTTACTTTCTTTAGTATGTGATACTATAGCATGGTGTCCAGCCACACCAGTTTGCCAGTTACACCCAGGTACACCCATCTCTATGTTCCTCGATACAACACCTGTAGTTTTACCAGTCTTGTTGGTGATGGATTTAAATTTAGGCGGTGTGTTTGTGATGCCAAATTGACTTTTTTTAAAGCTTTATATCATGTTATCTCCTGTGGTAGCAGTAGCCATGTGGAGCTGCCTAAATGCTTGCTGATACATAGCACCTCCCTGGAGCTCAGTCAACAGCCAAGCTCCTGCAYCAGAGCACCCCTCTCCCCAAGCATTGTTTGTAAACAGGCTGAAGTGGGAGTGGCCAAAACAGTAGGAGGTTCTTAAAGAGACAGAGACCCATTTTAAGGCGTTTTGATAGGCCATGATGCAGAGTCCCTTTTATTTTTGCAGTTTTGTCATAACAAATGAAGGTAACATAGTTACTTGTTTGAATTGCATTACGTGCTTGGAAACTACATAATGCCATCCTTTTAACAGAACTCCTGGGGGTATTTGAGGCCTTGAAATCTTTTTTCTATCATCCCCTGGTTTGTACCTTTCAGTAATTTTTCTCTAAGGTGAGTCAGGACAGTCACTTTTAAGGAGGTAAATGTTTATGCCTTGATTTATTTTACACCACACATTTTTTTAAACTGGTATTATTCTCTAGAACTTTGATTTCAATTTATCAAAAGTTTTTGTTTTGTTTTTTTAAAGGACCCTGAAGGATCTAAGACAGCAATAAAAGTATAAAAACATACAAGAGGTTGAAAACTTTTTATAAGTWCTGTATACAGAAAGCAACAAGTTTTCTCATTCAGTTCTACAGCAATTAACTGAAAACTTAAATCAAATTATATTCAAACCCTGATGAATAAACTATTAAAGATAAAGTGACAAATATTATTTTTTTCCAATAAGACTAAAAATAAAAAATCCTTTGTAGAATGAAACATTTCTTTCTGTTCTGACATATTTATTAAAACATAAAATTAGGATTTTTAAATCAGTCTTATGAAGCACCTCTTTAGTTTCCCTCACCCTCTGTTCACTTCAACACACTTTACTGGCTCATTGTCTCAGATCAAAAGGCTTTTCGCCGATGAATCCAAAGTCTGAAGACGTAAAACACCCATGAATCTCAACTTATAAAGGTAAATGAAGTATCAGTAATTGTTCATGAGATTGTTCAGAGGTTTTAATAATCTACCCTCCTCACGCAGTGGTCACATCTCTTCACGCTGTCCATCTGTGTTGGCTTCTGGACCTTGCAAAGGACCGTTGGCATTGGTAATGGAGGAGACCGGGAGCTTGTGTGATATGTCACGAGAGATAAAAGGGTTTCAGCCATAATTTAAAACGTGACGACGGAGACAGAGAAGGAGAAATCCAGGGGGAGGAGAGCAGAGAAAGGAAAGAGCGATGCAAAAAGGAACGAGAGGGAGTAGGAGGGAAAACAGAAAGAGACAGGCACATAGGGACCCCTGGGTTATCTACACATTAGCAGACTCCTTTCTGCTTTTCAGCTTCGTGCAGACAACTAATGGATGAGATAGAGTGCGTCAGAGCTTTGTCCCAATCAGGCACAGAGCTTTTTCTTCTCCACCGCTTGCATTCATGACACCCTGGCACCTTCAACACCCTTCATAAACGGCTAATGCTAATGTAGCTTTATTAATTCAAGCTTGTCCTCGATGTACAGGTTGCATTAAGCCACTCATTCAGTTGTCTATTTTTAAGGCTGCATTTAAAAAAGTAAAAGTAAAGCATTTCCCAACTCTCCTTTAGTATGAAAGGACGAAACACTTCCTTTTTTGACCATCTCAGTGTCTCTTTAAAGTAAACCAGTGAAACCAGACTTTCCTTTTAATAATCCACAGCACTGGCCCTTTTTGTGTATCTTCTGACTGCTCCCTTGTTAATTCAATAGAAAGAACATTTCTCTAAAAAACGAATAACATGTTCAAGGTTTTTGTTAACTCTAATGGAAGTGCATGGTAGTGTATTTGTTTAGGAAAGAACCCGGTAAAAGCATTCCTTTCTGCAAGACGGAAAAGATGCACCTAAAGATAAGACAGTACCCGACACTTTGTTAAAGTTCGTTTTTCTGTTTGCTTTCATGACAGCTTTCATTAAGTATGACAAGGTTGCTTCAGTAAGGGTGTGATGAAGATCTATTTTCAAATAAAACAACTGCTGGTTGAATTGTGTTGTTTTTAGGACCTGGGAAAAGCTTTTTGTTTGTCACTGATTTCAGCTTTATCCTCTTGCAGTCAAGTGTCTGCTCTGTCAGCCTGATTATGCAAATTACCTTAAATGTTAAGGGATAACCTCAATAGTATGCAAATTTTTAAGCAAAAGTGGTCAAAACTGACAAGTGACAATTTCAAGATGAGGAGTGGAATCATGAGTGAAAAGAAAGCAGAGAGGAGTGTGTTCATGGCTCAAACTGCGACTTGTATTAGATTTGGTGTTTCTGACTTATGGAAGAGTTCGGACTCTTCTGGGCTTGGTTGTTCAGAGCTTTTGGGTTTATTTGGTAACCCATGCATCTCTATAAAGATCAGTGAATAAAATATGTAATGCCCACCAACATTAAGTGTTGATAAATTA